TAGTTTCGTTTGCTGTCGTTGGTTTGGCGTGATACACGGTTCGTGTAAGTTTTGAATTTTTCGAGTGCATTTGTGCTTGGTGTATGTATGTAGTTTTAACCGGATACGTACGTNACATATACTGTTCGTGCAAGTAGTTTCGTTTGCTGTCGTTGGTTTGGCGTGATACACGGTTCGTGTAAGTTTTGAATTTTTCGAGTGCATTTGTGCTTGGTGTATGTATGTAGTTTTAACCGGATACGTACGTATGTATGTAGTTTTAACACTGCATTTTTCAAGCGTGGCACAAAGCGTGACGTTCACGGCTCAAGCGTGGCGAGTCCTGATCGATCTAAGCACGAAGAGGACGAAGAATGAAGAATCGCTGCTAACGGTGGCGTCCTCACGCCGAAGAAGTGGATCGACTTTCCCGACCCCCCCTACAGAAACACGTCATATATCTGTCAGGAGAGCTCAAAAAAAAAATCGAATATTCTACGCTTCTTAACAGGGCATATCCCGCGTTAAAACACCTCGCTATTTTTTTTTTCGGTACATGGAGTCCGTCGTGGCTGAAATGCCAGATTTGAAATTCCATCCCCCCCCCCAAAAAAAAACATGAAAATCCAATATGAAAACCACGAATTTTCAGAAAGGCTTCAAATCGATTTGGTCCTCGAACAACTATTGTGGGGATCATCATGTACATCACTGTTTCGAAAACAATTTTTTTTTTTTAATATTGATGAAGTGATGGCCGGTCAAAGATATGACGTCACACAGTTGATAGAACTGCAGCGTGTTGGAAACTCGTGACTTCTGGAGAAATATGTGGTGTATTAATGAGAACTTGCCCGGAGAGACAGGTCGGCAAGGTGGAGTGAACACGGTGGGCTGCGCTCCCCATGGCTTCTCGCTAAAGCTTTTCCTCAGCAATAAATCTATTCGCTGCAATCTCTTCGCTGCAATCTACTCGCTGCAATCTACTCGCTGCAATCTACTGACCTTTGTGTTACGTTTCGTTACAATACCAAGTATCACCTACTACACCACAATACACGTCATACATTCGATACTACAGCCACAATTCACGAACAATCAAATCGAGCCGAAGGTAGACATCGCCTGTGCCGCGACAATTGTTCCTGGCGATGCGAAAGCAGGCACCCCCACTGACCTCAACTACAACCACAATTCGCACGGCCACATGCTCGAGGAACTGCTCCAGAAAACGGCGAAACAGCAAGGAGTGCAGCTGACGGGAGGACCGCTGCTACCATGCCTCGGCTGTTCGATGTCCAAGGGGCAGGTGAAGCCCATTTCAAAGAGCACGGACACACGCGCAGCTAAAAACTTGTTCCGCCTTTTTCTCGATTTGAGGGGGAGGATGCAGTTCAAAAGCATTGGTGGCAACTGGTACACCCTCATCATCCGAGATGATTGCACCCGCTGGACACGTGTTTTCTTCATGAAGCACAAGTCTGACGCCGCTGCCGCGTTCGAGCGGTATCTGGCGGACTACAGAGCAGAAACCGTCCCGTGTGAGGTGTTTGTCGCACGTACTGACGGCGGCGGAGAATTCCAGGGCCAGTTTGCGGAGGTCTGCCGTAGATACGGCATCAAGCAAGAATTCACGCCCCCCAACACCCCCAAGTACAACGGTGTAGCGGAACGAGCGTNGCAGCAGCAGCAGCAGCAGCAGCAGCAACAGCGACAGCAGCAGCAGCAACGCCGCCGGCGACGACGACGGCGGCGGCGCCAGCGGCGGTGAGCCCGGCGCCTCTGGAGATGGCGGTGGCGGCGGCAGTGAACCCGGCGAAGACTCTGAGCAACTCGAGGAGTACAAGTATGATCCCGCCGACAGCCGCTACCCGCCGGGCCGCGAAGGGCGTCGGCTCCTCTGGGGCGCCTCGAAGGAAGGACCGCTGCGCCACGGGCTCGAGCGCGGCCGCACACGAAGGGAGACCCGGGAGCTGCAAGGCCCCGAGGAGCCGCCGGGTCCAGACGCCGAGCCAGACGCCGAGCAAGCGCTGCTGGCGGAGATCATCGTGGACTACGTTTCCAACTCGCTGGTGCGGGAGCGGTACGACGAGGAGCAGGTCAACATCGAGTACCGGCGTGAGATGCATGAGCTGCCGTACGGCACCGAGCTGCAGGAGGAGGCGTTCGGTGCAGAGGCAGGGGACGACGGGTCATCGCAACCTCTTCATGACCCGCAGCTAAGTATCCCCTCGCCCTTCGGCCAGAAGCCAAGTGATGTAGAGTGCGTGCCCTTGACGTACAAGGATGTCCTTAACTCCAAGTACAAGGTGCTGTGGGAAGCAGCCATAGCAAAGGAGTTCGACGGCCACAAGAAGCCGGGGACGTTCTCCGAGATTAGTGGTCTGCTCGAGGGGCAAAAGGCCATCAGTGCGAAGTGGATTTTCTCGCACAAGACCAATGAGAAGGGGCTGATTGTCGACTTCAAAGCACGTATGGTTGCGCGTGGTGTTTTTCTCAGATTCCCGGTGTGGATTTTCACCACTCATCATCCGTATGCCCTTCCGCGGTGTCCATCAAAACTATGGTGGCCGTATCCACCGAGAATGGTAGGAGGCCTGTCCACTGTGACATCAACAAGGCGTACACACACGCCAAGCTGAAGGAAGAAATCTACCTGAGGCTTCCAGACGGTTGTGGTGTTTGGACTGGCAAGGCGGTGAAAGTCGAGCGTGCTCTGTATGGACTCAAGCAGAATGGGCGCGAGTGGGGGTTTGAGGCTGCCGATGCCCTGATCTCAAACGGCTACGAGCAGTGCAGGGTGGACCCCTGCCATTTCCGCAAGGTGGTTGACGGAGAAGTCGTAGGTCTCATCGTGATCTACGTGGATGACATCATGTTGTCCGCGACCGAGGAGGAGCGTGAAGAGTTGCTAGCGTCTCTCCAGAAGAGACTCCCTTGAAGGATCTAGGAGATTGTACCTGGTACGATGGGTGTGCCATTGAGGTGGACCTTGAGAATGGTACCACCAAGCTGTCCCAGACGGCTTATATCGAGAGCATGCTCAACCGCTTCAATGTCACGACCACTGCTCCCACGCCCGCTGTCGTCGACGATGACCTAGGGCCGAAGAGAGACGACGAGTCCTCGGTGGACAAGCCCGTGAGGGAAGCGATCGGATGCCTGATGTGGTTGCTGTTCACGAGGCCGGACATCGCGCTGCCTTTGAACAAGCTGCAGAAGATCGCCCACTCACCCACCGAGAGGATGTGGAACGCGCTTGTGCGGATCATGTCCTACCTCAACGAGACGAAGGACCTCGGGATCACCTACGTCCGCGGATCAGGGCTAGACCTAGACGTGTTCGTCGATTCTAGTTACGCCGACAGCACCGTTGACAGGCGTTCGACGACGGGGCTAGCCGTGACTGTAGGTGGGACCGTTGTGTGCGCATCCACGAAGACACAGCCAGTGACGGCTCAGTCGACCACGGAGGCAGAGTATATTGCAGCCGGGGAGGGCGTGAAGGAAGCGTTGTTTGTGCGTGGTGTTCTGTCGTTCATTGCGCCCGAGACGAGCGATGCCACGATCAGGGTCCGTGAGGACAACGAGGGGGCTCTCGCGTTGGTGCAGAACCCTACGAGCATGGTAGATCTGCTAGCAGCACGGGGGGGTACGTAGACAGGAGCATGCGTATGCCTGAAAAAGGCTACTATGTGTGGGCCCCCTTCCCCGATTTCGGGAGGGCCACTTCTTCCCTTCCTTTCCTCGCTCCCGCGGGTGCCTAATCAGAGAGAGTTAAAGCTTGTCTTCTCCTCCCAAGTACGGACATACCAACAGACTCGAGGCCTAGGCGCGGAGAAATCGCAAAAAAAAAGCTCGAGGCGCACGAGAGCGCAGGATTTCGAAATGCAGGCACGAGAGCGCCTCTTGGCGCCCAGGATGAAGGTATCTATTTCTATGTTTTATGTCTCCCATCATTGGACTCTGTCGTCTGCCCCTCTGGCCCCTATCCTCCACTTCTACCAGCTAGACGACCCAACCGGGGTCACATAGGAGGGGGGGGTTGGATCCCCTCCTGCGGTTCCTGCCTGAGATATTTTTATCGCGAGAAGGGTACAGCAACCCCTTCCCTCGCGACTTATGAAGTCGATCAAGTTTACTTACAACGAGCTTTAACCCCTTCAGGGCTAAATCGCCTTTTGGGGACTTACTTGTTGTCCCCATCTTCTTCACCTGCTTTACCTCGCGAAGAATGGCACGATTGTATCCTCCTTTGTTGAACTACTCGACCAGGGGGGTACCAGGGTACACGAGGACGACTCTCGTTTAGTATGGATGCTTTGTAGAGTGGAGGAGTATGAGGGTAATGAACAGGTCGAATCGAGGGGCGATTACTAGGCCCCTCCCCGACCGGCGACATTTTTTTTTTTTTTCGGCGTTTCACGATTTTTTTCGGCAAAAACTATTGATGGAAAAAAACTCTTTTTCGGCGACATTCGGCGATTCAGTATGTTTTTTCGGTGAGTCCTGTTTCATTTTCGACGATTTTCGGCGATTTTCTTCGGCTGCTACCTTTCTCCATTTTGAACTTCAGCGACATTATCGAAGCGACTTTCGCGATGCATACGTGTACTTCTAGAACACCCAAACGAGCGGGTCGCGAGACTGTCGACTGTTGGACTGGTGCAGAGGTCACCTGCCGGCGATAGCGAACGAAGTAATTTGCCCTTTTATTTCTTTGCTAGAGACAGCATGACAGCATGCCATATTCCGAACCTGCTTTCAACATCGAAAAATTTCTGAAATAGGATAGGATGACGCACGACTTGGGGGGAAAAAATCATTTACTCCTACGACCTACGACACAATAAAGACATGAGCATCAAATTTACAATCACAGATCTTCAATCCCTGTCTTCATCGCTGTCATCGCTTTCATCGCTACCGCCGCCGTTGTTGGCATCTGCGGCGCTTCCATCCTTCTCTTCTGAGCTACTTTTGATCCTGCCCCTGTTGTACTTGAGCTGTGCGGAAGCGCAAATACGGTCGCTGTACACGCTCTGTTGTCGTTCATTAAAGCAACACCGCAGGATGGAAAACAATCGTTCCATGAACGCAGAGGATGGTTGCAAAAAGGCAACGTCCAACATCAAGGCGTGCCACGTAGGGAGTTTTGTCTTGTTGTCGTTCCAGAACCCCATGTGGCCGTACTCGGCGTCTGTGTCACTGGCCGCCATGAAGTAGTTTTCCTTTTCCTTGAAAAGCCCCCTGACCATTTTGCTCTTGACGAACGGGAGCACCTTGAGGCTGCGAATGGCGTCATCGGTGAACTTCCTGCCTTTCATGAACACGTAGTCCGTGAGCTTCGCGGCCTTGAACATCTCCAAGGCCTTGGCATCCCTCGCTTGGGAGTGGCGTCCGATCCTGTCGTGTGCGTACTGGCGAAGGGTGCCCAAGCAGTCCTGCATTTCAGCCTCGAGCACGCTTGCAGATGCCCCTTTTACACGCAACACGCAACGAAAATATCCGACCACCAAGGAGGAATCGGGGAGGAAGGGGGGAGGGTGTGCCAAGGTTTCAACTTCGTTGAAACACGCGCGGATCACGAGCGGACAAACCTCACACATGTACCACACGATGTGCGTATTTTTGTGTTGCCGTTTTCAATTTACACAATTTAGAGTCTACACTACATTATCTCGCAGGCCGCAGTCCGTAGTTGAGCTCACCAGGTCGTCTCCTTGGCCGACTAGTTTGGCGACAACAGCAGCGACGGTGGGCAAGGAGACATCCGGTGAGAAAACACCGTCTTCAGCCAACTCGAGCTTGCTGCGGAATCGCTCCACGATGTTGTACGTCTTTTGCGCCTGTCATCGTGAGAAAGCGGCACCCGAGAGGGGCGAAGTGTAACAAGAGGCGAAATGCTTATACTAAAAAAGAGATGAAGCAGCGAAAGAAATACCACCGAAGAAATATGAAGCTCCAAATGTCTACGTCCCGCAAATATTGCACGCGCCCTATTTACACGTACCAATGGCTCGTCGCCCTCCAGGACGATAGTTGCTGAAGTCACGGAACGGCCGACGTCCACCATCAAAGCCTGCTGCAACTGAAGGATTAAGCTCTGGGGGTTTTTGTCGTCGCGAACTCGCACTAGCTCGTCCCTCATGAACTTGGCTGCGTTGCTCTTGTCCGTGTCTTCGCTCTCGTAGGCGGCGATGAACTCCAACACTCCAGGCCAGTTCATGGCGATAATGTAGTCCCGATCGAACCTAGAGCCCCACCGGTGCCCAGGCGTCGATTGGGCGCGGACTCCGACTTTCTCCTTGAAGAGCGCCTTCGCTCCAGCGCTGTGCGAGAGTAGGGTATGCATCTTGCCACGGAACGTGTCCAACTCCGGGGTGCTCAGCTGGTTGTTGAATGTGTGGGACAAGCAGCCGATGACGATCGCGTATCTGAACAACTTCGCCAGCGCGTCCATGGCTAAGAGGTTTGCCGCGCAGCTGTCACCGATGATGCCCTCGGCACTTGTTGGGGTCGAGGCTGTACTCATGGGTGACGATGGGGTTGACCTCACCGGCAATGTCGTCCGCCGTCATGCTCTTCTTCAGCATGCTCAACCGCAGAACACGTTGCGCCACCTGTCGACATGAGGTCGAAACAAAGACGCGACGGGAGAGAGGGCACAGGAACTGGGTGGCGTCGTGGGGTCTGCACAAGTACCTACCATGTGGATTGTGGTACTGTTGTTACGTCGAAATCGATACCGTCGGACTCTGGCATGCTGGCATGATAAAGAACCTTCGGGGACGAGCGCCAACAGAAACATTTTAATTACCTGTTCACTTGCGTCGATGAATCGAACCCCAACCCCGAAGCACTCGCAGAGGTAAGGAGTGGCATCAAAGCACAGCGCGTAGGGTCGGTCGCCAATCTCATCGCGTATCTTGGCTTGCTGTTCCCGAAAATGACAACGAAACAGCAGGACAGCAGGACACAAGTGTTTGAGTATGAAGTTTATAGCTCAGATTTTAAAGTTGCACTCGTCCACGCTACCGTGTTGCAAAACAAACACCCCAGGCATAGCGGCAAAGCGCTCCTTCGTATTTTTTCAACCATAACTTTCCTCACCTCCTCCTCTAGGATCAATGGTATGTGCTCAGCCAGATGCCCGGCGCTTGGCAAGTCCACGTCGAGGTGAGCGAGGAACGCCCCGAACACGGGGTTGCCCAGCGCGTTTAGCGGAACACCGGCCGCCAAACAACCTTTCACGCCTTGATCTGTGTGAGCTTGTCCTTGTCGGACAGCGAGTCTCCGTAAGTCCCTCGTTCGGCCTCAGAGCGCTTGGTAAACGCGCGGAGTGTCCCCTGTAGCGCAGAAGCAAACACATACAGACGACCGAAAGCGCAGTCCCATCGTTAGGTTGTGGCGTGTGGGATTGCACAATCTACATTCTCGAGGACAAAGGGACAAGGGGACGCAGCGACGCAGCAAATGTAAACCGCAGTGGTGTGTTGATAAAACTGCCAAGCGTATCCATTTAAATTTCGTATACCTTTTTTTGTGGGTAAGTTAGCCTGTGGCCACGAGAATGGACCCCGTCAAGTGCTAGACTAGTACGGACAGAAGAAGGTACTTGGCAGAGAGAACGGTTTTTGATGTAAATACAAAAACAATAACAACAAACTGCACCACCCAACGAACACAAGCTCACTTTATCATCTTCCTCCGTGTCCAGCATCATTGCCACTCTTTTCTGGTGCTTCTTCCCGTCGATGTGGTCCTTCACGCGGTAACTGTGCAGAGATGATCTGGCTACATAGCTGATGCTGGCAAGATGGCCTGCCGTGCGTGCTTCGGCAAGATCATCTCTCTGCATAGTTACCACGTGAAGGACCACATCGACGGGAAGAAGCACCAGCCATGTAGAAGGTTTGGTTCGGGAACTCTTTGATCCGGTCATAAACTGGTACCTGGGCGTCTTTCTTGGGGGTTCTCTTGGCCATGGCTCCCCGACTGGTGAACCTCTTGCCCGCCGCGCTGGCGGCCTTGGCACGTGCCCCCCTCCGTTTGGTCAGGCTGAGGACCGCACGGTCTCTCTCGATGCTCTCCTCTCGCTCCGGCGCAGCCGGGTTGTTCGCGATCTCCTCCACCCGCTTCGCACGTTTGTCGGCAGACCGCTTCTCACTGTTCTCGCGCGCTTTTCTCTTGGATGCGTTTGTCGCGTCTTGGAACCAAGCCATCAGACCGTTTCGTACCTCCGGCGGCATCGATTTTGAAGTCTCGGCGGAAGTGGTGCCACCAACGCTGTGTTGGCGTGCAGAGGCACTGCTGCTAGAAGAAGCTGAACCAGCAGAAGAGACCCGCGGCGGAGCTCTTGTACCGGAAGCAGGTGATGCGGCTCTGCCGCTGCCGCTGTCGCCGCTGGTGACAGCCGCGGCACTTGTCTTTTGGCGGACAAATTGCACCTCATTGTCCAAATCCCCTTCGCTTTCACGGCTATTTTCCCACCTACTTTTAGACTAGGCTTCCATACCGCTAAGAGGCGACGACATAGCGCCGCCGTTAAGCCGTGTGTGAAGCTATGCAGCTGGTGTAGAGCTACGAAGAAGGTACAGGGGGCACCGTGTATTCAATCGGCGACAATCCGTGACATCTACTTTCGATTCGGCGGAGCCCCCTTTAGAATCGGCGGGGGGGGGG